TTTTTCTCTTTAAAGCTGTTGTACACATGATCTGTCCAAGGCTCTCTTCATTTGGAGGCTCCTTTTTGTGGCCTGATCCTATCCCACAGTTTTCTTGCCATGCAGATAAAAAAAAAGGTTTCTTCACTTCTGGACATTGTCTCAAAACATCTACACCAGGCTCTCCCTCCTGTATCTTCATAGTCTTAGGTGTAGTCTTTAGACCCTCTGAGTCAGTGTGTGGATCTTCATATATATAGTGGAAGTCTGTCTGTCTTTCCAAAATCTCAGTGTCATACTGGGTGTCCACATCTGCCTCTTCTGTAGCTGTGTTACATAATTTTAATCAATTAATACATTTTCAAACTCATTTACATTCACCCTCATGTTATGTGGGAATTTTATAATATTGTCATGTTGACCCCACAGTTTTACCAACTTTACCTTTTCTCTCTCTCTCTCTCTCTCTCTCTCTCGCTCTCTCTCTTACACACACAGAAGCTGGTAAACAGAAAACACAGAAGCTGGTAAAGAAAAAAAAAACATATAGTAAAAAATTGTTTCTAACAAGTAGTAGGCTTATACATATTGACAGTTTTTCTCGATTGCTAACACACAATTCTTGAAACAATTAACCATTTTATCACAACTATAAACACAATCTCAAAAGTACACACCAGCTTGTGCAAACTGTAAACTTTCAGGTCAAAGGGAAACATTTTAGTCAAAAACATACTCTCTTTTGCCATAATCTAATCTTTGGCCTCAGATGACACACAAAACTATTAAATACACAGACTATTTTCCTGTCTATGGAACAGAACACTAGTAAGATCAATTCAAAACACTGTTACAAACACCTCCTTTTGGGAAACAGGAATCCTTTTGCTAGTCTGTTACAGTATAAATAGAGCGCTGCAGATACAGTACAATTTAGCAAAAAGCTGTAAGCAAAGACAACTTTCATTACACTACTGTAAAGTCATCTTATCGTAGATGAGAAGCAGTAGAAGAGAAAAGTTAAAAAACAAAGAAACTGAATATACAGTAAACACACACTGGAATATACTGTCAGTAACTGTACAGCTATAAATAGCCTAAATAATTATTTAAATAAAGAAATAAATTCAGCATCCTCTGCCAAGTTGCATGGTGCCCGGGAGCTGACATGTTCGGTTCACTTAGTTTTGTCGTGGCCACGAGCCCACGACATAATAACTCGTGGGAACATGATATTATGTCGTGTGTCCACGAGATCATTTTGTCGAGGTAACAACATCCTTATGTGTGGCCCTCACTTGAACACTTGGGCCAAATACAGGAAATACGTCATATAAGTAGTCAAGTGGTCAAGTGCAAAGACCACAAGTGTAGGTATTTGGACAAGGGGCACGTCAAAGGATTATTTCACCACCCTATGTGAATCTGATAAGAGGAGATATATTAAGAAACTAAATTCTTTTGGTCTATGTCAGTGTCCCTTTTCCTAACCTTCCTTTGATTTGAGAAATACAAATGAACGGCCCAAAGTGAAATACCCTGACATCTACAACTATTTGTCCTAAATGCTCGTTTTTGGGGGGTCGACAGCTTATAAAAATGTAGTTTTTTTTACTGTACAGCTTGTCACATAGCAGCTTTTAGGCATTGCTCTGTTTTTTGTTATAAATCAGAAATGACAAGGAGGCAGCTTCCCGCAATGCAAAGTCAATGGAGAGCGTTGGATTGTACGTAGGTCTATAAAAGCATGATACCGGCTTGACGAAGCGATGCGCTTTGAAAATGTACGATTTAATTCTATAAATATATAGTTTATATTCAGCTCTTTTTCGTGGGGCAAGGCCCCACATACAGACGAGCCGCGGCTGGTTAAGACTGTCATAAGAACTAACAGTTAACCAAGGGATTGTCGTCAATCTTACTTTTTGGATTGAAATTAGACCAATCTATCTTTTCATGTAACCTCAAAATATTATAGTCTTTAAAAAACACATGACTAACTTTCAAGACTATTCTAAGCTGTCGATGCACCTAGTGAAGTATCATCATCATTATAAAGTTACTTACCAGACACGAAAAGAAGCACAAAACAAACTGTCTTCATTTTTCTCCGTCTCAATAAAGATGTCAGATATTTTCTAAAGTCAACCATCAAGCTGGACTGGACCGAACGCTTGTCACTTTATGGTTAGTGTACTGACGTCTAATGAAGTAACGTTGCAGCTGACTGTAGCCTACTTGTTTTGTAGCGTTTCACACGCGGCTCAGGTGACAGGTGTTGTTCATAAAGAGCATGCGCAGCTGTTGCTCTCACTGTTGCCAACTCTCGCGAGAACAAGCAAAATTTTTTTTGATGATTTATTATCATCAATATTATTTATTATCAATGATTTATTACCAATTAATGAGCCTGCAACATATTAAACTGAAACCACTCTTTTTAATCTGAAAAGCAAAAACAGTAGCTATTTTACAAAAATCAGCGAACTGCAACAAAAGTGGGAACAAAACTCATCTCCAATCCCCTGTGAGCAGAATAGGATCGGAGAGATGGAAAAGCAGAAAAACACAAGAGCTTCAAAGGGGAGCTGTAGCCAAATAGCCAACTAAAATATAGGCAAAACTTCTACTTCTATCATCGCTTGGATTACAGCGTCACGCGCCTTCTTTTCGAACATGATTTTTCTCCAATGAGGGTGAGGAGGGGGCGGGACATTTGGCAAAGTACGCTGCAGCACTTATATTATTTCTTTATGCACCAAGAGCTTGTAACACTCCAAAGAGAAAGGAAAAATTTAAATCGCATCAAGCAACCATATTTTTTAAAATAGCCCAAAAAACCGCAACCTGGAATTTTTTCATGCAACTTTACAAAAAAAGAAGCCCAAAGTCGCTTAAGGCCCTGTCCCAAATGGCACCCTAAACCCTTGCGGTCTTCCTCTGAGTCCGCACTTTCGTAATGCTGCTTTGACTGTCGGGTAAGTCTGCTGTGGAGCTCGCCCCAGTGCGGGCTCAGCAGAAGTGCGTATCGAGGGCGCATAACGGCCGCAAAGGGGGCGCTCGCGAGCACCCCTCTGAACGCTAAAATGACAAATGGGACACCCTACTGGTCTCATGGATTTAACGGACACGCGCACACGGTGGCCATTGTAAGTCTGTAAGACCCAAGTGCACATGAATGCCTTGTCCAAATACCCACACTTGCGGTCTTGGCCACTTGAGAGCCCATGCGCGTGACAGGAAGTAAGTGCGCAAGACTGTCCCAGGTCTTAAAAACGCCAAAGTGCAGTGCCCTTAACGCACACTAAACCCACACCATCTTGAATACTGCTCCGGAGGAACTTGCAGCGATATTCTATTAGCGAGGAACTTATCAAGGACATAATCAGAAACTAAGGCAACTAAGGAAAGAGGAACTGAACGCAGGAAATGTAAACACAAACTAAGAATCCAAAGAACAGAGAGAACGCCTTTATTGTATAGGCTATCACCATCTGGTCTAGGGGTTCAAAGATAACATAACCATATTAAGGGTTTAAGAAGAGTATTCGCACAAGCCCCTGTCACAGCATAACAACAACTACAACAAGATCCCTTTAACAGGTTTTATTAACAGCTCTGAGAGTATACATGATTTTGAAACAAAAAGGATGTAATTTAAGAGGGAAGCAAACTTCAGGAGGGGGAACAATGCCAAAATAACAAACAAAAGTACTTTTATTCTGGAGGTTAGGTTCTTTCTAAACCTGTCAAATAAAAGAAAAACAACAGAATTATACACTCACTCCCTATCTAATCCTCAAACCAGGAGAAAACAGATGCAGTACAAAAGAAAAGGCGCCCACCTCCCTACAGCTTCCAAAAGTGTAATAACCAATCAACAGAGTAATGGCTTAAGAAGTTGGTAACAGGGAAATACAAGATAAATGTTAACCCGCTCTTGCAATATCTTGCTCAACACAACAAAGCTAGAGCTTCTGGCAGAAACACAGAGTTAGTCAACAGTTCTTTAGATTAATGAAGATAATGTAAGAGGGGCTGTAAACCATCAAAGGATTCTCCAGTCTCTTGTAAATGGGTCCACGAGAATAATGCAGGCAATACATGAAGATATGAAATTTTTCTGACTTTTATTGGTCAGCGCTCATGCGGTTACGAACACCATGCGTTGCAGCTTATCACACACACATCCACTGTGCATGCTTGACCCGTGCATCCAAAACCTAAGCACATCAGTGCGTCAAATCCTAATAACAATAACAAAATTAACTCACTTTACATAAAGACAGAAATAAATCTCACAATAACAACCATACAAAGCTCCAAAAGGCTTAAACAAACTAAGCTGGGCTGGGCTGGACACAGGGCATGCTCTGGAGATAAGTTTTCATCTTCTGAGGGTTCTGCTCAGCTTTTATACTGCTTCCGTCTCAGCTGGTAAACAGGTGCAGCTGGAAAGGGCAATCAGCTACCTGCCAGAGTGGAAAGAGTGGGGGGAGCCAGAGAAGCAGGAGACACAGAGAGAGAAACAAGAACAAAAGAAATCATATCACAATACACAATGCAGATAACACAAAAGTGAATATGTCACTGGACGTAACATTATTATTACAAAATAATCACCAGATCAATGATCCTGTGTTGGACCAGCATACACCTGAGAAGGGCGTTGAGAGTGTATAGGTGCTAAAGACCTGGTACTCACATGTGGTTTGAGGTACTGATATCAGAAATAGTAGTATTGGGTTGTATTGTATTCCGGAATGAAATTACCTAGAAATAGCTACTGTAGTGTTATTTTATTAGGCTATATCCAGGAATTAGGCTACCCGAGGTACTGTAGTAGTAAATTGGTAAGTAGTACTGTACAGTACTGTAGTAATTGTATTATATTGACAACTGGAGGTTGGTTGAATTGTCCATGGTGGTAAGTCAGATTAGTTATGAGTTATGAGTTATAAGTTCGAAGAGAGAATTTTCTTGTCAGGGCACCTGACTCTGTCTAATGTCTACACAAATGAGCAAAACATTTAGTATGTTTTTTAAACATTTAATTCAGTGCAGAGTGCAGACGTGTTCAACCAATCTATTCATACAGTGCTGATATATTTTAAAGGGGTCATATGATGCGATTTCAAGTTTTCCTTTCTCTTTGGAGTGTTACAAGCTGAT